ATATATCAACCAGATATATAATTCGAATTTGGTACATAATTAAATTGAATTAACTTATGATTAAATGTTATAAAGTCCTTTAAAGCGTTGGAGAAATAGTAAAATGGAACCAGGAAATCCAGTTCTTAAAGATATGTAATAGAATAAAAAGTAATAGTAAATTTTGATGGGAGTGCATATAACCCATAGTTGAGTTGCAATGTAGAGCACTTGAGGCTGAAGTAAAAATAGCATAGTACCATAAAGAATATGACTAGTTGGAGGCCGTAACTCCTTGCGTGCGCAAGCGGTGAATGCCTCATTGAGAAAATGACCAGTTGTTAAATATTTGATGTGTTTCAGTTGGAGGCCGTAGTTCCTTGTGGCGGCAAGCAGTGGCTGAGTCTAATGAGAATCTGACCAGTTTGAGGCCGTAGCTCCTTGTGTGGGCAAGCGGTGGCTGAGTCTAATGAGAATTTGACCAGTTTGAGGCCGTAGCTCCTTGTGCGGGCAAGCGGTGGCTGAGTCTAATAAAATCCAGATCTGTTGAGACCGTAGTCATAGTGGGCAAGCGGTGGCATTTTTTTAAAGTTTTGTTTTAACAGGTATTTCACTAATTAGCTAGGCAGCCGTGTTTGCAGAGATGCTGACTAGTACCTGGTGTGAAAAATTAAGTGATACAACTTAAGGCGGAAAAATATAACAAAGACTGAATTCATGATGTTGAAATGTAATGTGTAGTTGTCAGTGGCAACTTTCATATTTTAAGTATGTAAAGTATCTCAAACTAAATTTTATATGATTTTAATTTTATTATATTACCCGATGTTAACTGTTATGATAATATCGAATGAGGCCCTTCGATAACGTTGGATGGCCGAAGTGGCTACGAATACCATCGATAAAATATAAAGTGAATAGTAGGCTTACTAAACTCACGTTCGTTTGACGAAAGTTAGTAATTCGTTTTATGGAAATTGCGCAAGGTTTTACAACAAACTCCCAGAGTCTGTACTCAATTTGCCAGAAAAAGAAATCAAATGTGTCATAAAATATTTTCTTTGTAAAAAAAAAAAAAAGCTTATTATAAAATTGAAAAATTTATAAATGTCATCATTTATAAATCAGTGTTTTTTTTAGAAAATATCTAACTTGAAATTCATAGCGCTGTCAATGTTGTCTGATTGAACGGAGATTAAGTGCGTAGCGGTTTTTATGTTGATTGCCGCACGCCTAATCCTTGTTGTTAATTAAATATAAGTAAATCAATATTTATTTAAAAGAGCAACACACAGGTTTCTTGTTTATTCTTCTTGTGATGAATCTGCGTTCCGAATAAGCGATAGATTCAAAAATCTTGACTGCTCAAAAGTGCTTATATTAAGTTTGTTTGAATAAAGATTATTTCTATTTCACATTAATCTGGAACAGTGGGTTTTGGTTTATGTTAAACTGGTGTTGTAAAGAAAATTGAGATCAGTATCTACAATCATTTATAGTTCCCTAAATGTACAGGGTTCAAAGGGTGCAATAGATTACTTGACCAGTGAGCTGATGGTATTGTTAAGTAAATCATAACTGAAATTCAATGAATTATGTTATATTAAAATAATTCTCTGGTAAATCAAGAGTATCGTCGAAGTAAAATAGTAGTAGTAGTATTGAGGGTATTAGAACCACTTGAATAATATTGACCTGTTATTTTCTATTGGTTAGGTGAAGGCAGGCAGCGATTTTGTTCTAATTTTATGTCACGAGAATAATACTTTCTCTTTATATTTTTTTCTCTATATATGTAGGTAATTAAGTTTTACCTTTTGTAATGTGATATGTTAAATTTATCCGTTAAAATATTCATGATGAGAAATGTCAAGTTCTATTTTGGAGGTATAAAAAAAAATGCAATGTTCATAAGATCGGAAACTTACATTGTGATGGTGATATGTTACAGTCTGACTCATAGAAGTCAATCACCGCCAAATAATTGTTTGTTACTCTAAAAGGTTGTTCATGTTTTTGGGTGATTTGGATTATGTAAATTAATATATGTTATGTTATATTTTGTGCATTCTGAATGCATGCCGAAACTTAGCTCTGTTAGTATTGATTTTAGATTGTAAACCTTTGACAGTATACTAAGATAGTCAATGTTATGAAAGTAATGTGTATCTTTAGTTTATTTAGTTAAGTATTTGTTATATGATCCTGTAGACACTATATCCTTTGATAAGCATGACTACGCTCATCAGTTACCTATGTGTCTGGGCCAGACACTATTGCAGGATGGCCGACTGTTAACTATCGTGTGACGCACCATTAATTAAAAATGGTAAAGTCAATAATCATGTAACCTGAAACGGAACGTCAGAGGCCAGAGTCAAAGTAATCTATGTGACATTGACAAGTGGATGACGGACGATTGAACGGAGGCAGCGGGAGTTTTGGAGCGAAAGTGTTGATATGATTATAACAACAAATAAGAGATAGATAATTGTGAACATTGTAGGCATTGAGGTGTTTCTCTCCCTGACTAACCGGCATTACGCCTAAGTCGTCAGGATACTAGTGATTTTAAAAATATGAAGATTGTAATGATGTAAATCATTAATTAGTATTAAGTAAATGAGAAGTTATTTCATTGGTTTCATTGTAACCCTTATAATATAAGGGTTTAAGTCTAAAAATTAGTGACGTTGTATTTCAGTCAGGCTTTGGTGACAAAATAAAAGTGAATTTGAAATAATTAGACAAAAAAGTGTAGATACACAACTATTCCACGGCTGAATAAAGACGCGAACATAATCGCGATAAAAACTTTAATTTTAAATGGTTGTGACATATATGTATGTATGTATATGTCACAAACATTTAAAATTAAAATGAGTGTTTGTAATTAAGTATTTAATTTTTCTTTTAATACTTTCTTTGATTTTTTCGTCTATCTGTTTGGTCTTGCTAACCTTTGACGGCTGGACCGATTTTGAAGGGACTTTCACTCACAAATGGCTGATATTATAAGGAGTAACTTAGAAAAAGATACATTCCACGCGAATATAGTCGCTGGTAACAGCTAGCAATAAGATACTGAATTATGCATAGTTATGGATTTCAATATTTGTTTACAGGTACCTATACCATATTAAACATTATTTCATAAGATACTTTTTGTACTAATTAGTAACTAGCACTACTTACTAGGTCCTATTGGGCGCTATGCGTTGAAGTCTTTTACGTGAGTTCCAGAACCTTCGGTGATCATTCAATTGGAGATAAATCCAAAGCATATTGACTTATTATATCTTAATATTAATATATCCATAACAACATCCTGTTAGTATTATAAAATTAAAAAATATATGACTATTTTTGTATGTTTAATTGATAGTTAGAAACATAATTCTGATTTAAACAATATTCTAGATTAAATATTATTAAAATTCAATTTATGAAATTCACACAAGTGTATAAACATTATTTTTATAGTAAATAATATATGTCTGATTTAATTGAGGATTTCTCAATTTGTGACATTGTGTAGATAAATTTACACCAAATTTGTTTAATAAAAAGAATAAAAGAAACGAACAAAAAGAGTCGACAATAAAATAGAAAGAGCGAAATAATGGAAATGGCCGCTATGATTGCCAATCTCGTACACAGAACGACGCTAGAATAAAATATGAAATGCGACAAATCTTTATAATATATGACACCTACTAACTTGTTATTAAACGATAATTTTCATATTATCGCCGTTATATTAAAGATATTATATTACCGTATTCATTTTATTAAATTATGTAAACTAGTTATGTGCAAAATATTACTTCTAATTTTATAGGTAACATCAGTTTCGAGACAAGTAACGCCATCTTGCGGCGAACCGGAGAACTATTCAAGTCCTCGTGCTACTCTACAGAGCTTGCTACAAGATAAGTAAGTAGTTACCAGCTACAGTGGTGCTACGCGAGAATGGGCAGCAAGCGAATATATTTCAATTTTCAGCATATTCAACGAAATGTTACATGTTTACATATAAATACTATAACAGAATACATTTTGCATACTATTTTGTAATCATTGCATGTTTCGCAATGTTGTATTATTAAATCTAGGTACTTGAACTTAGGACAGTTTTTTTGCTATAGTAGTTTTCCATTGTAATAGTGCCTACCTTTTAGTTTTGAGTGAATTAGCTATGTTATTAGATACATAGTATGTTGATGTCTACTAAATATGTTCAATCCATAATGGGCTTGCTCTATACATTGTAAATCATTGCACATATACATCTAATTGGAATATCCTTTCATTTAATATTAAGAATGAAACTATATTAGAATAAAATTGGAAAGTTACTTAAAATATAAAATTTAGCACTTATTTATAACGTTAAAACATCACAGGTTTTAAGATTAACTATGGAGTCACAAGGGACTTTTAATATAGTATAAAATACTACAAGCACTACAATTGCGGTCTTACAAAGAAACATTTAGTATGTAAAAATATGTGGATGTTTTATTATAATCGTTGTTATTTGTGTGTATAAACAATTCCCAAACAAATTAAATATTTAAAACGACGCGATTCGTGCCTAACTTTATGACAGCGCGTATAAAAGCATCTGTATCAAAATTTGTAATTATATAAATTGGAATATAAATGGATTTGTTAACGTATTGACTATGTAATGAGATTTAATAAAGTTTTTCTTTTCAAAGTTCAAGTACATCAATTAGCAATGTAATTATTACAGTTATATCTATGAATCTATTGCTAGTTTAGGAACTATCCCGCATGCCGTGATTTGCCACGTGATTTGCCGTGTGTAACAGTTAAGTAGTTACTAATATTTGATATTGCTGCATATAGAGTCCATATTACATTGAATTCGACACGCGAGTTGTGAAAGCATTGTAATACACGCATTAGATTATATTCTTTTTTATTGCTACGTGAGTATAGTCCATGCATACAAACTAGTTTCGTCTTCTTGCAATCACTATACTAAGACTAACCTTAAAATGCTGATGGGCTGCTTGCTCCTCTGCATCATACTTGTGTTTTATGTTTTCATTCCTATACTGCTTCAATACACCGGCCACTTCGATCCTATAACAAAAACGTAGTATGTCTTTAAGCTAAGATATTGTATTTATTAGTAGAAACTATTACGATAATATTAGGTTAAAGTTATGCCCAACTTTATATAATATTTTGGACCCGCCTCAACTGATTCTCAAGGGGGGAAGGGGCGACCTAACATGTCACATTGTTAGCATTGGGGTCACTAGTCCCCACGTGATGTCAAGTAGACCCCACTAACATGAAAGGAGGACCTCTATGCAATTCCCTCTGGAAACTATTGTGGTTAACTTCTAGTACTTTTATCACAATGGGCAAACAAACCTAAGCTCAAGCTTATCTTTTTCCACACGTGCCCCGCCAGCGTATACCGTTAGCATAGGTGGTTGCACCATTCTATTATATCCATAAAAAAACAATTTTCATGATAATTTTTTAATCAATAGGAGTCAACAATACCATTTTCCCTCCCTCCCTCCCCGTACCATACTAATTTTGTGACATCAGTTTTGTATAGAACAAAAGTTCCTCGTCTTATTGTAAGTTCAATATGTTTACTTTTTCTCGAAGGGTCCTTCTCACTATTTTTCAACGACCCTTTCATGTACCATATGTTAATCATTAACACCTTAAAGAATACTTGCTTGAAGATACAGTACTTTAATTGTTTATATTATACAAAAAGCATTAGTTTGCATACCTCATTCTCATATTCTCCTGAAGTCTCCGCAATGGGACCTGGTACTCCTGTGATCGTCCACCACGCACCTCAGCCAGTTGGTACTCCACATGCTTCATCCTTTCGCAGAACAGCTGTTCACGAAGAACAGAGAACTGACGCTCCAAGTTGGCTGGAAAAATAGTAAATTTTGGATAAGAGAATTTGTTACGAGGCAAGAATAAATATTATATAAATACTATATTATGGGCCTGTTACCCATGTGTTTTATAGATTTTATGGCTGTTTATGAAGACATACAAATTAACTCAATGAAGACATATAAACTCAATTTCTACTGTTTATAAATTACTAGTTACTCAGTCTGGCTATGCATGGGTGTACATGTATAATATATATACCCCTTCCGCTTGAACCACTCTATCTATTAAAAAAAAAGGCCTCAAAATCTGTTGCATAGTTTTAAAAATTTCAGCATACATAGGCACAGAAAGCGACAGCAACTTTGATATGTGTGTTGAATTTGAGATGGATATTTGTTACTCTATCACTCAAAAACTATTGAACAGATTTTGATGAAACTTTACAGTTTCATCAAAATCTGTTCAATAGTAATATAGCTTACAGATTAGATTAACACAAAGGCTATAATTTGAAAAAATATTACAGATATTAGGCGAAATGTAATAATAAATATCAAATAAGTGTGATGCAGATGAAGTTGCATGGGTAGCTAGTAAATTATAATCAGTATAACTGTAACACCAAAGGCTAGTGGCAAAATCTTCAGATGACACCCTCCCTATATTTTATAAATTATATAATAAATGTTAGTGTCTTCTCCTTCTTATGTCCAAATTTGCAGCTTTTAGCCTGACTATTATGACAGAATGAACCTATATTCAAAATATCACATTTACAGCTTAGTTTATTAGACTGTGTTCCTAGATTACTAATTCAGGCTAAATCTGTTTATAAGGATAGTCTGATCTATTATAAAGTAACACCTCATACTAGGTACTAGAAATAATAATTAGCCTATACCTTATAACTTAGTCCTGTTGCTAGTAGTTGAAAGTGTCTAAGAACTAACACCATATTTATATGACAAACCTTTGTTGTTTGCTCCATCCTTCCACATTTAAATGATGTTTTAGAACCAGTTAATATATAACAATTTTGTTATGATTAATTTCTACTATAATAAAAGATTGTATATCTTGCGAAGCTAGAAACTAAGCTACTTCATACTGATCATTTTATATATCATTATAAAAATATTGTTACAGATTCATAAGATTAGTTATTAACAATATTAAATTAAGTCGCTTTAGTAGTAAAGTAATTTTAGTAGTTTTTAGAATTTGTTTTAATGATTTGAGAGGTCATAAGAATTGAGACTATATAAGATTTATTTGTAAAACCTTAAAAAGCAAGCAAAGCTTTTAAGGCAAGTATTAAAAAGAACTTTATAAAAAATTTGGTCATTGTTAGTTTTATGCTATCTTTCTATTGTGAAATAACAACAACAAACATATCTATTATATGCCTATTGTGAATACATTTATTACTGATGTTGTATTAGAAGTCAGATTATGAGAAGTTGTATGTGAGGTCTACATAATTAGGTTTGACTTTATTTATAAATTAATAGACATGTAATTTTTACTGGCAAAAATGAATAAAAGTAACTATATGTCTGATATGCATTCGTAAACAAAAATAATAACGACCTACAAACCTAATTGTTTGTAAACATAACCTTATACCAGTACCTTAAGTGAATACTTACATAGGTTATCGAGGCATTCGTTTCTTCGTCTTTCACACTCGCTCTCATCCATTTCCGAAGAATCATCAGAATCAGGTTCATCAGCTTCCTCAGCGCTGGAATCCCGGTCTGGACCTCTGGACGAGCCTCCAGACCTCTCAGTATCACCACCAGACATATCGCCATCTCCGTCACTATCACCCTCAACCTTCATTGAAGGCATCTTTATTATAGAAAAATTAAGTAAAACCAAAAAAGATTTTTTGCGGGAACACGAAAACACTTTACTCGATAAGTTTGTCAAAAAGTAAATTGATAAAGAACAGACAAAGTGAGAAACAACGTCAACAATGTCAAAAATTGACACTTAGAAATTGTTATGTCAACGTCAAGGTCTAAACTTCTCACATTATTTTAGTGCTTTAAATCTCAATCATTACAATTAAAAACGGTATTGAAAAGAAAAAAACAAAGGTGATTACACTTCTATCAATCAATCTATATATGGGCTAGAATTAAAAATTATATGTAATTTCACGAAATTGTAATTACAGAACAGTAATTTATTTGTTAAGAACGCCATCTATGAATCTATTTTGGATTGAGAGTGTCTATGGCGCTACTATAGTATTCAAACTTTTGAGCATACAGAGCCATCTATTTCATTAACAGCCACAACATATTTTGATATTTAATCTGTAAGATGGAGGGGGTAGGGGTTTATGGCTTGTCTGGTTTGAAAATGTGACGGCAAAGATATTTTAATTTTTTATTTTGTTACTAGAAGAGTCCGCAACTTCATACCCGTGTCGTACGGTAAAATCCAACCAAAGTTTAGCCTATTTCTAAGAATAACTCGCACAAAGAGAAAAGAAATCTAAGAAGTATTCATGAATAACAAGTGTTCATGAACAATGTTCTCAGATTAAAATTTTGATTAATCTTGACGGCCCCGGTGGTCTAGCTGTTTAGCATACTGCATTAATTACAATGGTCGCGGGTTCGATACCTCACACGTACAAACATACAAATGTTTGTCGTCGTTTGTCGAATTCATGAGTACGATTGTTTGTATTGGTCAGGGTGTTTTCTATATATATTATGTATTTAACAATGAAATATCCTAAGTATTTATATTATAGTAATTGTCTAGTACCCATAACACAAATTCTACTTACCTTGGGACTAATGATGTTGTGTGAATTGTTCAGGGGTTGTCATTATTAATGTTAGTTTATAAAAACTACAATGATATTTTTCTCTTACATCTTCCATACATTTCTATATATTATATATTTAATTACATCATTGTCCCGAATTCATAGTGCAATGCAAACTTAATATAACCACAGATAATATAATATTACATAATATAACTTAGTTTAAAATAGGGCCGTGGTGTGCATTATGTACCTAATTATTTTATCAATGCCTTTCATATAATCTAATATATCATCACAGAAACGGTTTTTTGTTTACAGAAAATAATCTATATAAAAAATAAAACACACATTATCTGATATTAAATTTAATAGGTACTCTATTATGTACATTAAATTGTTCTATATTAACATAATATTTATATTTTATTATTTATTCAGTTGTTAATAAATTATATACAGGACTATTTATAAATTAGATAATATCAATACTGTGAAATCTCGACAAATCCACATTAGGTGCAACCGATTATGTGCATGAAAAATATTTTGATTATTGTTCATTACTTTTAAAATTACAGTAATAATTAAGTACATACGCAGATAAGATTCCATTCAAAATATTATTCATGCACATGTCGATTTAACAATAACTTAAAACACGCAGATTATAATAAAACAACATTTTGTTTACAAATTTTAGCACCTCACAGGCTACCACTGATGTATGTTTAAATACATATTCCGACTTACGCAACTAATGAATATTTCTCAATCAATCCAAAAACATGACACCATATCTCAAAATCAGTACACATAACACGAAATGGTAATGGTATAACGCACCTACAACATACATATAAAACAACTTTATTATGAATTAAAAACTTGTGATTATTAAAAAAGAACATTGACCCCACTATTCATCGTGGCCTTATGTATTTGGCACTAAATTATTTGGAATGCACAATCTATCTATGTAGATATACAAATAATGTAATCAAACTAATTTTGAATACTTAACTTCTGGACATTTAGAATATTGTGTCATACAATAATATTGCCATTATATACTAACCTCCATCTAATAATAATCTCTGGCAACCTAATCTACATAGTGCGGACCACTGCGACACCAGTGTCTTTATGTAGTGCCTACAATGGTTCGCTGACTAGGGTCGTCGAGTTATATCATTCGAATAAAAACACATAAACTGTAAAAAAAAGCTGAATATTCATATTACAAAGTAAACACACCAAACTCGTGACTATTCGTCATATTATTGTATCATAGTTATACTTAGTGGTAAATTTACAAAAAGGATACATAAGAATTCTATTGGCCGAAAATTCAAATAGGTATACTCTAAAAAACAGATATGTCGTTGTACAGTAGGAAAAATTGATTATACGGATATAAAATATTGCTTTTCTACTCACTATCATAGCAGTGTTTAATATAGGTGGTTTATTGTAACTATTAAAATTCTACCATCAAGTCATTCCACAAGAGAACCCACAAGAATACTACTGGAGAAATTTTTCAAAAACCCTAGTATTTTATTTTCTACCGTATAAATTTGGCAATAGAGAAAAAGGTATTTTATTGTTTTATGCATCATATTTATTATTCGCTATCTATTTTAAATTGCAACCTATAAATTCCTTTGCATTATTGTTGATAGAATAAAATCTTAACTGTAAATGATCAACATTTTTATAAGTTTAACATGCTTATTTAAAAAATTGCATCTTATTTATTAATGGAATTTATTATTTTATTTTATTATCAATATTTGTATTTGGAACATCAATTTTATAAATATTTTAATAAAACCGAGTAGATACATGGGAACAGTCTTCAGATAATACGACGAAGTATTTTAAATCTCATTAAGCAAGTAAGAGAGGCTAAAAGATTACGGAATTTTTGTATACTTATTTACTAATTAAAAACATTTTACGCTTCTAATGCTCTCCCAGAACAAAATCTGAGTACATGTAAACATACATGTACCAATAAGGGCACGGATTAAATTCTATTCAACAGACGCGATTATTGGATAATTACCATTCAATATTACAAAAACCGACCAGCGGAATAATTTAAATGAAAGGAATGCAATAAATTACCTTTAATTTTAAATAAGTTCAAAGTGTCTAATTACAATGATAAGCAGATAAAATTAAGTTGAACCGCACACTATTGCCTAGTCAAAATCTCAAGTAAAAATTTAAATACAATAACGTACTATTAAAACTACAGACGTGAGCATAAAAGTGTATAACCGATAATCAGTGAAACTTTTTATTTCCTATTTATAAAGTTTGTTAAAGTTATTAATAAAGAGACGATCGCTGAAGAAAAGCTCTACAAGGATATGACCATCTCTTCATTTGTAACTTTAACAAAAGAATTATTAAACTTTATAATTACTCAACATTCACGTATAAGGCAGTAGGTATATTGGTTATTCTAAAAAAATCCAACCGTATATTTTGAACGTTAAAAATGGATTCGTTGGTTCAAGTTTCTACATACGAAAATTTTATCACTAATATCAGACGACAGTGATTTAATTATTGCCAGTATTTTGATGTAAAGTTAATGAAATCCTAATAAATCTATTTATTAAATACGTAAATTTTGTGGTCTACCATTCGCATACGAATTAATAATATTACTAAATTTCTCTCATCCCGGCATTTCCGTAATACGAAACATTTCATAAGTATTTTGCACCTCACTTTATTTTTTTAAATTTACAAGATTTGTAAGTAAAAATATAAGTAATACCTGACATTGTCAACTTGTCACTAACCTATTACAATGTTAATGTGTAACATTACGACAGATAATCTGTTATAAATGTAATTTGTTTAGGACAAGTAGACGTCAGGTTGAAACTTGATATAATGTAAATATAAAAACCACGGCACTGTCGACATATTTCGTCACTCTTTTATTGTCGCAATCGAGTGAAACAAAATACACCCAACAATCGAATATCGAGCAACCGATCTCTCTTATTAGTTCCGTAAATGATCGTTAACTAAATAAGTAATATTTGGGAACACATTTCTAAATTCTAATTTTTCATCTACCGTTTCAGGATCGGAATCCATAGGTACTCGCGTCACTACGTACCTCGACACTATCATTAGTATTACCTACAGAACTCGTTTCACCATTCGCCAACAACCTATCTCTTTTTAACGCATATTTTCGCCGTCTATCGCATGAATTGATAAAGTAGAAAAGCAAATGTAAAACCATTTGCATAATTATTTCCAACAATAATACGAGCTTGAACATTCCGGTGTCTCTCTCGAGTGCGTGGTGCCCGCAGGGGGCGTGGGGGCGGGCCGCGAGGGGCCCGGGGGGGCCATCGGAGCCGTCGCGGCCGTCGGAGCCGCAGCTGCCCATCCCCTGCTAGGTGTGCTTCAACCAGTGCGCGGGCACCCACTGTGGCTCCCTTTCTAAGCTGTTGATTTCATTCAACAACTGTTGGTAGGCACGTTGTGTGTCGTTATTAATGATAATCATGTCGAACAAGTGGCCCCATCGTAATTCCATGTCTCTCGCTGTTGCTATTATTTCTTTTAACTCCTCCTCCTGAAGTGAAATAAAACAGTTGTGTAGTAACTATTTTAAGAGTCCACAAATTACAGAAATTGCTCAAGATATATAAAGGTAATTTAGCAATTATGACATTCAATATTTCAGAAATTTAAAACACATTGTTCAAAGTAGTTTATATTAAAACGCATAATAAAGTAATTTAGTAGGGAGCAAAATTGAATAGTATCGATAAATACCTTGAATGCTTCTGCATTCCTGATTTTCTTCTGTCTTAGCTTCTCGAGACTAGGAGGAGCTACAAACACAGTGTATGGCTTGAGATCGGAATTTCTTAAGATCTTCAGTGACTGTGGATGTAAGTTGAGTACACAGATTTTCCCGGAGTTGACAACTTCCCGTATCGCTTCTAGTGATGTTCCTGAAAAGTAAATATTTATTAATATTTTTTAAATGCTTCTAAAAGTAAGAGAAACTGCAGATCAAAAACTATCGTGGGCATAAATAGGATGTCATTGTTAAGTTGTAATCTTTACGAGTCAGTACATATGTCATATACCTACATAGTTTTCATGAGTTCTGACTGTAGACTAAAGACTGTTGTTTGTATCGATGTATTGTATAATGTATTATTAACGTATTTCGATAAAAAGTCTTTTGTTTAATACACATTGGACATGTTCGGTTTAGTTTGTGGTTTTGTGTAATTTATTTCTGTCACTGTGTAAATTATTGTTCTGCGTTATTATTTTTAATATTACCTCTTAATGAAAGAAAGAGCCTATTATATGCGTTCTAATTATTTATTTTGAGATATCTCTGATAAGTTTGATTGTTACACTATCTTATAGTGATATCTAATAGGTATATCTCTTAATATAAATACTGTATGTACTGACCGTAGTATGCTTTCTCGTATTCTCCGTGCTCAACGAACTTCCTGTTCAGTATATCGGCTTCGAACTGTGTACGTGATATAAAGTGGTAATCCTGCCCGGGCACCTCGTGGTCTTTGCGCGGTCGAGACGTATCTGAGGAAAATTAACACTTATATTTAGCATCAAATAGGTTTCAGTTGACAATATTCGGGTGTTATTTAAAAAATGTACAGAATATTTTAAACATTATTCTGTGCAGAATTGCAAAGCAAGGTAATTATTTATTTAAAAAATAATTCCTTATTTTTTGTTGTACTTATTTGCAATTCATGAATAAATTAATTCCATAATAATTCAATTTTCATTCAAGTCAATATATTAATATATTTACATACGTTATTTTATATATATATATATATATATATATATATATATATATATATATATATATATATATATATATATATATATTATATATATTGTTACTACAGTACCAATTTTATATAACGTAAAATAGATGAGTATGACAGTAACTGTCATAGAATGAATGGATTTTTTTCTATTTCGGCATTGGACAATAAATGGTTGAAAGTATAATGATGCAGTGTACATACGAGGTACAGCCGCGGCGAATCTGGAACTATCCTCCATAAGCCTCTGACGGAGTTCGTGACGGCCGATGTTGGGTGGCCCGATCAAGACGATGGGCCGCTTATGCGACGCTCGAGGGTAGTACAACGCTACCTCTTCGTATGTTAGGATCTCTTCTTGTTCGTATTCTGAAACAAATTGAATTAAGTGAATGGTAAATGATGGGGAAGGTTCTCGAGTGTCATATGATACTAAATGTTTCAGGGTGTCTGTGTTTTATTTGTTCGAGTCGCTGTTCATAGTCCACCATCTTGTGGTCCACGACACTTGAAAATCGGAAGTGATAAAAACTGTAGATTGTGATTTTATAGAACCTCCTTTTCAAAGTCGCTTAAAAATTGTAGTTGATAACCATATTTAAATTGATAACAATATTTCCTATTGATCAACGCAAAATTTCTGGATGGACGGGTACAAGTTTTTAACCCTTTCATGAAAAAAACTACTAAAAGGTTTCGAATGAAATATGGTACACAGTTATGTAACACATATAAATCGTTTACCAGACCGTTAGCGCAGACGGGTGCACCATTCCATTATCATCCATAAAAAAAAATGCACGCACGCAGGAAGGATATAGTAAAATATAAATCAATTAAAGCTTACCATCTGCTCCAGAAGTCGAATACAGTGGATATCCTGCTTCACTTGTGGCCTTCTTTCCTTTCTTCTTTCTAGGTGGCTTTTTGGCACAAAGCAACGTTCCACCTTTTCTTGTTTTATCTCTCGCAGCAACTTCACCCGCTAGCGTCAATTTCATTGACTCTCGTCTAATAAACAAATATATAATTCTCAGCTGTTCTCGTCTAAGAAACAAATTAATTATAATAAAATTCAGAAAGACAAACCACCGCTTTGGTTGACAGATTACGTTTGATAATGACTTTCAAAATTATTCACAATAACATAGTACTTATTCAGGCGACTTTAAACATATTAAGAAGGCCCAGTCAGGGCCTCTTATCCTGTTCACTACCTTTTTTTCACCCTGCAACCGAAACACAATATAAAACTTACTGATGTTGGAACGCTTGACTGGGTATCAGGCCTGCGAGTGTTTGGTCCTCTTCACCTTCCCGGAACGCTTGCCACCAATTCGGATCGTCACGGCTGATCACGTGTAACACGTCGCCTTTTTGGAAACTTATACCTGAAATCAACAAATATTTTGTTTAAATATTGTCACTTTGTGTCAGATACAAAATACAAAAAACGTACGGCCACATAATACGTTTGTTGTTTGAATGTTTACGAGTCGTTGCCATGACCTTTTTATACGGCGAGCTCGCCGGCTAAAATCAAAGTCACATTATAATAATCAATTAATTAGCATTTTCAAATCAGTAACTATATAAATAGATATTAATTGATATTTCTCTTCAATCACTTTAATTACTAAGATGATAATGTGTAGGTATTCTTTTGATTAAAATGATGGTTATAATAGGTACTTTTTTAAAATAATCATTGCAGTTATCATTTATATGTTTTAAAAAGAATGCACTATCTGTGTTTGTCTTCGTCGTTTGGTGCAGGATTTTGTTTTGTACAATCCATCATTATAATATATTCTTGTATATAACTTGATGTGATATATCGCGCGCTTTATTACCTGCATTAACACAAAAATTACAAATTCGGAAAATAGAACTTAACAACCTCATTTTAAAGTCGATTTTCCAAAATTTTTATTTATTAATTTATTGCATTTTATTAATAGACGTTGGACATATCAGGACATGAATTTCTAGATAAATACAGAACTTGAAATTTAAAATAACACATACCGAGCTCCCGGCAGGGTATGTAGACGTCATCCTCGGGATCGTAGTCGAAATGCGCGCGTACGTGTAGCACGCGGTGCACGGGCGGCTGCGGGCGAGTCGCGGGAGAGCGAGCCGGCGCGCGCGGCGCCAGCACCACCGACAGCGTGCCCGACAACGAGCCTAGCACCTGGCACACTTCGTGCACTGACTTGCCTCGCATCGCCACGCCGTTCACCTCCAGCAGCTGGAAAGTTAAAGTAAATTAGGTTGTATTGCTGGCATTTAGCGCTGATTATGATACGTTGTTAGTATAATGCCGAGACTACTAACATAGCCAGGTCCTAACAGAAACGTTGAAGCTTCGTGATATCTTTCTAGGGTTCTTGGAATGACTTCACTGTTCTATGGATTTGTGTACGTTAGGAGACAACTACTATTTGTGAATTACGTAAACAATGTTTCTTCAGCCTCGACAAAAAAAAGACTAATAATTGTCTCTATTATTCTTGTAAAGTTGTTTTCTATTTCAGTTCAGTAATCGTTTTTTCGCTAGAAACTAAATTGACTTAATCTGTAATTTTTAATATCCATTCAAAACCTTCAATATATATTAATGACCAATTAAAAAAATTAACTGGTAGCGAACTAAAGCCATAACAATATTTCACATAAATCTACCACTAAAGATCATATCATTTTACTATATATATACATTAAATTACAGTAATGAGAAACTTATTGCGTGATTTAATACCTAGTATGGTACCAGAGCCAGTTAAATAATCCACATAACATATTGTTTAACTATTAAGAATTGACAAGCAAACACTAATAACTAATGACATAATACGTGGTAAATAAGGATATTAGAATAGTAGTATTTTTAAAAAAGGATACCTAAATATATAGAAGTCCTACCTCATCTCCTTCGTGTAATAGACCTGATTTTTCTGCCGCTCCTCCTCTCACTATCCTTCCAATTATGACTGCTTCACCTTCATTTCTTACCGTAGCACCTAGAAAGTAAGGTAGAAAATCAATTCTTATTATTTAGCTCTATTGTATTAAAACATACATCGTACAAGTCTCTTACAACAATCTCAACAAGAAAATAATTGTAGACTTGTAGATAGTACCGTGACACGTTGTATTCATATTCCCACACGGTATCATAGGTTTATTTATGAACAAATTGTTCCATAACTCCGAGATTATATAATTCTTAGAAAAAAAGTCGTAACATTATCTAGTGATAACAAATATTAAAAAAAAAAAACAAAATCTTCTCATACTTACCAAGTGGTTCATTAGTCTTTTCAATTTTAATAATTTTGATGTGTTCGCTTGGATCGTCTGGCGAATGCGCAGTTAAAGCTTTATCGTTCTCTCCTTTGTGATTATAGTTGTTTCCAGTCTGGAATTATGCAAATATTATTATAAATCCAGAGATAAAATATAGCGGAAATGTATGCAAAAGAGATTATGGATGGTTTATCGAAGCAACCACTCGTGGGTCAGATTGTGTGCTTTAAGACATGATTGTGGGATTAAAGGACCGTAATGAAGATTTACTATTAAGTAATTTAACCCTCTTTCAGTCGTTATTTTATTTTTATAGCTCTCGGAAGTAGAATTGGCTAAATTACGGGTATTAAAAAGTTAGTATCAGTAGTGACTTCCCTAAAGGGATTATCATACCATTTTTATTGTTGCAATGGTATCTGATTGTGCACCTAATGGAAAACAGTAACCTTCGCCTATATACTACACGAACAGTACTACATTACAAATCAGGTTATAATGCGACACTCTTAATACCACTAATGTCATGTCATTCCAGAGGACTAAAATGTTATGTCTCTTATCCTGTCACTAACTCTTCACTAACAAACTTGGACATTACATTATTAGCAATTGTTGATTTCACCTTATGCCTCTTTCCCCTGTTAAAGCAGGCGGGATCGAGTAGAGCGGCTGCCTGATCGTGAGCCTGGATCAGACTTTCCAACTCCATGCCGCCCAGTACCGCGAGAAGTTCCGCCGCTAGTGCCGACGACTCGCTTCCTGCAGCCGTTTGTGTACTTAGTACGTCCATACACTGTTGACAAAAAATAAAATGGGTTTAGGTGATGACACTTGCAATTATATTTTAATGTACATCATTATATTTATTTTTTCTTGAACATCCCTGATATTAAGTATGTCACGTGCACATTATAAATTTTGAAGATGGCTTCCCCAGGACCTCTTACGCTTTATACAAATAAGTATCTACGTAAATAAAATTACCTATATAAAATTGATATATGATTGACGTACGCTATTGAAAATAATTTTGGTATACCAATTTCATTAAAAATTGTACTTTTTTAGTATTGACATTGTTAGAGTAGAAAAATTCTTTGTACAGAATGGCATATAAATATAAGTAATATATTATTTTATCAATGTGTTTATCATATTCTATAATGTGTAACAGAATATTGAAAATACTAATCCTCTATATAATTACAATAAAAACTTCTGTGATAACATAGAAACTAGTGTCTTATAAAACAAAGGCTATTAATAATATCCTGTATATATTTCTTTACAATGCGTTTTCATACAGTAACTAGATACTTTTTGTACTTACTCATAGAAACTACTACTTCTACTTACTACGTTAGAATGCTTGATGTACGCTCACAGGTTTCAAGAATTAGTCGTGTTTAAAGTAAAGCATATATTTCGTTTTTCTACTAGAACTCTAAGCAGTTTCAACAGGGTCATTAAAGAGAAAAATAAATGTTCGCCTATTTCCCACAAAACTGAATAGATTTTTTTTATAACTTGCACATTATTACAGCACTTGAATCACGCGTGACGTCTTGCTGCATTATGTATGTCGCTTGAATACGTATGCATACAAATTAGGAGCTGTCCTGGTTAAGTTCGCCGAAATGGAAGAACATTTACGGATAATACATGATTCATCTTGCTTTCAAATGATTATGTTCTTTATATGCAGCTAAAACATTTTATGTTGAATATTTCCGGAAAAATATATATTGAAGTTAAAGTCAAGTAGTAAAACCGTAAGGAACTTTTTATTTTGTACTAGATAAACCTCGCCACTTCTTACTCTGCATCATACTTACTTAACAGATATTATTATATTTCGCAAAATTTACACAATATATTTTTAAATTATAGCCGATGTGTTATTCTTACGTATACAACTATAAAGTGTCATCAAAATCAGTAGCTTTTGCGTGAAAAAGTAACAAATATCCATACATAATCGCAAACTTTTGCGTTTATAATATTAGTAATGTTTCTATTATTAGTAAAACTGGAAAAAGAAATTTAAAAATTGTGCGAACAGATTAATTTTTTAGATTATGATAATATGAGATAACAGAGATAGATAACTGTCTAACAAGAGCAAGATAATAAAAACTCACACAAAATTAAACATTATTCATTCACTTTATTATACAATAAAAAAGTTTGATATACTATATACTAAATAATGCTATATCAACCTCAGTAGGGTATACGGCTTAATAACCCATTTTAAATTTAAGATGACGCATGAATAGCTATATATTTAATATTCCATGACCCATCAAAGGTAGATGATATGCTCTATTTTACCTAATGGGCCCGCACAAATATCAAATTGGTTTCTAATCCAACGCGCCATTTCCCCCATGTCATAATATTATAAATGGATGAAGTTATCATCTCTTAAACAAATCGGAGATTTTACATTTGGCAGTCGCACATTTCTATCGATTAAACATAAAACAAACATACTATCATGATTGTTTTATGTTTAATCATATATAAGTAGGGTACTTAGACGGGGTAGTTAGAGGCATTGTTAACTGACGATATTGTGGTGAAAACAAAGCAAGTTATGACATATTCATATTTCGTTGAGTATATTTTCATCGAACTTTTTAACGAGGGAGCCTACACGGCGGTAGACTCGCTCTCTGATTATTTTTTTCATGCTTATTTTGGTGTTTTATGCGGTAAGAAACATGTGGCTAAATTGAAAATCATAGGAATGCATTTATGTGGTAATAGATGAAGTTACTTACGTCTTTCAACCTGTCTGTAGCTCGATGCGTATGCGGCGGCGATAGTCCTTGTCGTTTGTGTCTTACAGCGGTGAGAACAGCAGAGCGCGTCGCTAGCGCTGTTCTTAGCGCAGGACAAAGTAGTACACCGGCAGCGCCTGCGACACGCGCTGCAAGCGCTGACTCGCCATTTGCACCAAGTGCCTTTTGCACCCTTGATAGTGCAGCACATACTTCTTGATAATCTGTAATGAAAGAAAAGGATCATTAAGGGTATCTTCTCTTATCATTTTCCGTCCCGAAGCAAACTGGCGTTAAATACGGGGCGAAGTGTGAGTTGCTTTTTATGAAATTGACAAACATGATAGTGACTTTCCAAAATACCTCATAATGCCAATGTATACCTTCAATATAGCTTGATCACAAAGAATGTAAGTATTATCAATCTAAAAGAAAAAAATCTCAGATCCAAGTGTTATGGTATTCCTGAGAACAGAATGACAACATTCCTAGAGGATAGAAAGGATAACATTCCTTTCTTCTAAGGTACTTTTTCTGTATTTCTACCTACCTAGGATATTCATTGATAATGTGCAGTTAATAACACAGAACTGTTTTACTATTTTTAGAACAGATACGATGCAATTATATGCTATTAGCTGAGGTGGAATAAACTTGAACAGGTCAGGTTAGTTCCAGTTCAGTTGGTAATAGTTCGTTGATCGTGTCACATGGTTTATATTAGATCTGGGTCGAGGTGAATGCCATTAACTAAATACATTTCAGACTGACTAACAAAAATCTTATAAGCACAGGTTTCAAATGCTTGCATATTTAAATTGCGATCGTAAAGGTGACAATCTGCTTGAAACACTCGTAGAAATATCAACATAGTTGTTTAATATTTGAGTCGGTGTTAATGGATCCTTCGTTTAATATGCTCTGAAATATTTCAGAGTGAGATTGTGAATTTGATGTTTTTATGAGGTCCCGACTTTCATTTCAAATCGTACGAATTTTACATGTGCTTTGTCGCCTATTTTTCATAGAATATTTTAATTAAAAGTGTTAACTGTTAAATATGTTTATGCTGTTTTACTATTGGTCACAGTTAAGCAGCAATTGTGTAATGTTTAACATCACAAAAGATTTTGGCGATATTACCCTGCCTGCGTTCTGGAAATTTAGATGTTTGTCTACTTGTATACCCAGTAATTTCCTTGATATTTCTAACCCGAAATCAAAAGTGTGAAACTATCTAACATAAACAGAAATCGCCCTTGTTAGGGTGATGGTGGTCTTAAAATCCTGTTAAAATCACTCACCAACAACTGTGTAAAGGTGCGTTGAATCATCGCTCAAATCATCCTCGTATGCATCGTTGATAAATGCTGTCCCGGACGACGGCGGCGTCGACTCCAGAGCCTGAAGTTTGTGAGAGCTCCGTAATGACGTTCTAAGGAATTCATTTTGCGCTGCTATACGTTCTTCAACTTCTTTGCGTTGTCGTAGCTGTTCCTGGAGGAGATAAGTTTATGGTTAATTGCATTCATGGCAAGACATCAGCAAACTGGAGAAGAGACGAATAATTTTTGCATAAAATTGTTAAACTTCCCTTTATTCTTAAAACTAAAGCCTTCTAGAAAAAGGCTTAGGCTTAAGTATTCTCATTTTATGACTGCGTTTAATTTAGTCACATTCTATTGCAAACACGATAATATAAAACTGTAGTGTCTTTGTATTATTTTCAATTGAAACTGTATAACATTAAAACGACGGTATAGTGAACTTCATTCCAATTTAGGAATCATTGCGGTCAAGTATAAATGAGTAAAATGTAACAAAAAAATAAAATGAGTATTTTTTTAACTTTTTGAAAATAGATCTTATTATCAAATAACGTTGCTTGTGTACATGCGTACTGTATTTGTTCTGACAAGAGTAATATTGTCCAAAGCAACGTCGTACATGTATTCATATACGCAAAGCCGTCTCGGAATTTCCTCTACTGTAGGGCAACTTTAGTCTTTGAACAAGAAATTCCCTCTATTTCTCTTTTAAAATTCTAGCATTATAAATTTTACTGGTGAACATTTCTCAAATGAGATTTCGTACTACTTTTGCAGAAATTTTGCTTTGTTAAATTGCCACGGGATACATTCCCGACAAAATATAAGTAGAATAATATTCACACGATAATGGCGATATCAAATAGTAGAGAGGCAATCAACTGATTTACTTAAAATAATTAATTATGTTATGAGTAATATATAATTTATTTTATTTGTACTAAATATATTTTTAAGTATTCTTTCTGTGTTAACAATTTGGTTTTCAAATTTATTTATATACTAATTTATTTTCCAAGAAAACAAGCAGCATTCCTAAGATGTGTTAGTCATGTGACAAATTAGAATAAAAAAACAACATGGTAACCTCACAGTGTCATTTATTTAGAAAGTAAACAGAGTTGTAAACTATGTATAGGAGAAAACTGTTAGATAATTTAATAATATATTTGATCGAGAATAGAAAAATAATTGAATAAAATATTAAATTTTTTATACTCGACATTCGGATTCCAAGAAAATGCAGGCGACATCTAAAGTAACTACGTTTTATGAATAATTTCCTGTTGGATGCGGGGAACAGCGGTAAATTCCTATTTGGGGTAATGTGTCATTATAGAACTTCTGTGAAAGCAATTCTAGAAAATATAGAACAATTGTATTTTTTCTAATAGCTAAATTTGGTTTTCCTACATATAAATTTACTTTATTAAATATATATGTATATGTCTACCTACAAGCTGAATAGTTGCAGTGGTGTAAAGCTTTTGCTATAATGAGGTTCGATTCTCGTTTAGAACATACTAAAGTTACGGAGCAGGTTTGCATACAAGCATTACTACTTGTTCAACAAGTGCTTCATTAGCCAAGGAAATACCGTGCAAGTACACAAAGTTTGCTATCAATCAGTAATATCTCAGTATACTGTAACATTTTAATACGGTACCACAAATATAATAAATTATTTTTCATACACATTCAATATTCAAAACATCTAGTAAGTAATTTAATATTAAACTAATAAATCTTAACTTCTAACGGTAATAAATCAATTCAGAATATCTACAATTATATAAATAGACTTTTTTTATTCATTTCCAAAATATAATAAATTAGATATACGACACAAAACATAACTGCGTATTGTCCGTAAGTAGGTTAGTTGTAATTCATGGCGAGAATCTGTTCAATTTCATCTCTATAACACGGCCAGTGATCTCTAATCCAGAATATTCAGTGCATTTCGTACTCAACGGTCCGGATATCATGACGTTTTTATGCTTTTGTTTATGCCTCGGCCAAATGACGTTTTCATACTCTAATCGAGAGCGGAGAGAGAGAATTAAATATGCTGCTCAATCTTTTGTGTAGCCATTAAAGTGACGTCAATAAAATTTATGCAATTTTCATTAATAAATGGAACGCGACATGACGTTACGCAGCTTCTGTCACGTGAACCTGTAAAGTATACTATTATTTATATCACAAATATGCATACAATACAAATTTATATCGTAACTGCAGGTACTTTGCGTGCAGTAATTGCTCATAAATTAGGTGCTGTTGCATAATGCGGCGTAAATTTTAATTACTGAACGATCGATGTCCTTTATTATGGTTAAATAAAGTTTAGACTATAGGTAAAAATAGTATAACAGTTGGTATTTTAACGCTGGAACGGGTTTTATTACTAATTATTTATGTTCCATCAAGATAGGTAGGGCAAGTAAATTTATAATAAATTCATCAAGTTTTAATTCAATCATATAATACGCAATCATGTCACATATGTATGTAATCTATACAAATGATATTCGTTCACTAGTAATATCGATGGATATTTTTCAATTGATTTTTGTTATTTAAATACGTACACGTATCTGCAGAATATTAGCAGTAGTCGTAATTTTCAAATTTTGTTTTCTTTTATTTAAGATTATATTTTATTTTATAGTATGCTAGACTTATATTAATACCATAGATATACATAATTATTGTATACTTGGTTAAGCAAACATAAATCTTGCGAATAATTTTTATTTTATGTAAATGTGTATTATATAATTTAAAATTTACTGTGTTCCTCTTCGAGTACATAAATAAAATTAAGCTTTTACTATGAATTTATTTTACGATCCCTCTCAGTCATTCAGAGGTTGACTGGAAGAAATCCCAATGAACTCATTCGTTACTTAAGAAGATATTATTTTATCTTAAGCTTTTTTATATTGTAGCTATATTTATGTAGGTGTAATATAAACACAAACAACACTAATAGAATATAGTATATATACACATTATACATATATGTACACGAAGAGATTACTTTTTATAGAGGTGTATAAACGTTTTCTTATGATAAGATAGTATTCATATGCATAAAATATAATTTTGTAAATATAAATTTGTAACTACACAGACCGGATGCGCAAGTAATTCAGTAATTTGGCATCTTATTAACATTTCTCACATTCGTTCTTTTAGTAAATAAAAATTTACGTTAGCTATTGTGCATTACATACAATATATGGCAAGATCCATCTTCCTTTAGTAGCAATAATATAATACATATACTTAAAAAAAAGCTTTTAATTAAGATATTTGTGATAATTTTCTACGGAGTTAAAAAAATACCCTTGTAAAAACTGAAAATAAAACAATTTTATATAGATATTTAATTTTATTCATCATTAGAAAATCTGGGAGAAAATCAATTAATTTATATAATGGAATTGGTATTAGTTCATGATATTGAACTTTATCTCATTCTCATGTCAAGTCTCATTTAAGGAAAATCATCTTAAATCAACGAACATGTTGATTAACGATGACTTGAAACATCAACTATACTAAAAAAATGAAATTTTACATTGTGGTTTTTATACAGGTACATATTCTTCTTTTATATAAACGAGAAAGAGAGACAAAACAACATTAGTTACTCAGGTGGTTCTCCTATCTGAACCACGCCTAGTTAAACAATACGAAAACCTTAGTATCTATAAATCGCATATAACTGCCTACATTTCCATGAGAAGTAGTTGCCTACACACTACCTACGCCCTAAATACAGTTACTTTCTATAAAAACAAATCAACGTGTAGTATTACAAAACGATACTCACCGAGTAGGCCTTAATTCTTTCTGGGTCGACGTCATGTTGCGAACGAGTCTGCGCGCGAGGCGATGACGACACCATGATCTATGGATCACGATCTATACAGCCGTATTGTATAGTCTAACGGTTTATGCAGCACGTACGAATGCAGTGCGCCATTCCAAATGTCATTACATTCACAAATGTTTTATAAATATTTTTAATTTCTTCTTAGATGCACTTGCACACAATATTATCATCATTATTTTCATTTACACATCTCTATCTAAAATACAGTAATAAAATAACAAATGGCTGCATTGTGGTGTTACCATAATAAAGTAGATAATATAATATGATAAGAGTTATTCTAATTTAATTAAAGGTAATTAAATTGCAGTGTTCATACACTCCTACGCGTGTTAAAGTACATTTGTGTGAAGGCCAATTAACGCAACTTTATAAAATATTTAATATTAACAACAATACATATTATTCTGACAACATTGGAATCCGTATATTATCTACATTGAATACTAGTATATGTTACCTTGACAATTACTTATCTTTATCGTCTGTGCCTATTGTATTCATAGTTTTAGAACTAAACTATTCAATTCTAATCAAGGTTTACCAAATATAAAAATTTAATTATATGGCGTATGTTTTAAAAACTTTCAAATTGCACGCAGCCATGGGTAATAGAAATGGGTAATAGAAAAAGCGCACTGTTACCCCCAAGAAATGTAATGTCTATCTCAGGTTAAATAATGAGCTAAATTAATATTCTTAAAGTTTTTCTTAAGGTTTTCATAAAGATACAATCCACATCGAAATGTAGAGAATACAATCAGGTAGGTAAATGCTTTATATTCACCTTAATGCGTACATTAAGGTGAATATAAAGCATTTACCTATACCTATTTATACATTACAATTAAGTCATTAAAGTTATATGAAAGAAAACTGTACGGACTGTAACGCAAGAGGTTTAATAATAATGTAGCGACAGTATTTATAAAACTGAATAACATTCACAATGCATCGTAGACTGAAAAATGAAAATAGTTTTTCAACTTTCAGCGTTCAAATCAATTCTGTAACTACGATGAAAGGTTTAAAATTCATTTTCATATTCAACTCGTGTCCATTGTGAAAAGTTATTCAGTTCCAGTTGAATACTATCGCAAAAGTTTGTTGAATTAAGTCAAACAATATGTGTATCATGTCAATGAAACAGATTTTATACTCGCATAAAGAATTCTGTAATGAAACGTTTTCACAGACTAAAATAAATATACTGAATCAAACGAAGCTTTACTTTCATAAATTTTTATACATTGTCTCGAATA